ACACGACGCTCTTCCGATCTCCCCAAAACCCCAAAACCCCTCTAACTAATGTTAAATTTAAATGTTTAGGAATTAAGTTATTAAACATATTAAAATCCAAGAAAATTCACTAGTACGAGGGCTTTGAAGCTGGCATGTTTTTGCCAGTGCTCGCTTTTCCTCCCATCCTTGATTGGTTCATTCTGGAAGCATTCATCTGACTTCTGTTCATAGCTGTTGATGGTCTGACAGAGTATTATTTCTCAAGCTTTATTCTATCTAAATTTTGCTAATTCTCTAACTCTTTCTTAACGTTTTGATATCTTTGAAGTAATCTAAAAAACGATATTTAAAACTACGGTTGAAATATACTTGTTATGTTCGGATTCTCTTTGCTTGAGTCTCTCATTCATTGCAGCTTCAATCTTCTTTCTCAGAGCATTCATTTCATTTTGTTGTTTAGTAATAAGTTTAGCCTCAGCAGCCACTATCTTCTTGTGTCTTGCCATCATATTTTTCTCTTGCTCTTCTTGTTCCATTTGCTGACCCTTGACTTAAACCTGATGAGCTTCAGCGTATTGCTTTTGTCTAGCAAGTTATTATTCGATTTCTCTTAAATTAAGTAGTTCAGCTGACTGTTTGAAAGTCATAGGCAATTTCTGCTCAAGTTGCTGTCTATTTTCCTCCAATTCCCTTACATGTCTCTCCTCAAGTCCTCTCATGGCTTGCTAGTCTTAAGCCTCAATTTAGGCAAGAGTATCATCCCAGTTCTTGTTGAATTCCTGATACTCCATGATGTGAGCCTACTCTACTTCTTCACGCTCTCTGGTCTAGTTTAAGATCAATTCATCACGTCTTCTTTGGAATTCCTGGGCTCTCAACTCTTCTATTCTGTTCTTAGCCATTTCAGCCTCTAAAAACGTGTTATTGTACATTCCTTTGGGTTATATGTGACTTACCTACATACTTTCCCTCCATTTCACATTGCTTTCTGTGTTCTTCTAATACAGCTCTACACATCAAGATTTGATTAAAAATACCGTTAAAAGTAATGCTTACATAAAGTCTGCGATATTCTCTTGATTAGGTTGGTCCTACATAGCGTTTTCTTTGCTTGGACTGTCTTATTGTTGTTGCTATTTCTTGTTCATTTTTATTGTATGATGGATAATATTTCAAAAGAAAAGATCTGAACTTTCCTGTTAAGTACAATTACTAATTCTGTTAGTAATAAAGATTATAATTCAAAATTTATTGTTAATCTATATTTTAATTTCTCTTGAATTCTTTCAGTAATTTATCAATTATCGAAATCAATCTTTTACTGATGGGGTTTTGGGGTTTTGGGGTTTTGGGG